CTGTTATGCAGCATTGCCTTTTTCAAATACTTCTGACATAATTTGAGTATAAGTTATTGTTAAGGGAAATGGTATTAATTCACATCTGTAAGACATACCAGCTCACTTATTGTGTTTCCATAAGGTGAATCACTGCATCTCTCAGAAAACGTTCCTGAGCCACTTGAACAATCCAGAGCCCAAGCATAATGTACTGGAATGTCATACAATTTTAATTTGAATAGTGACTTTCATACAGAATGCATCCCTGACTGACTGTAAATAATGCAAGAAGAGGAGGGAGCCATCAAAGTACAAGGAAGGAAGAATAGAAAGCTGTCTGAGTGAGATTCCATCTTCTCCACCTATAAAAAAGGAAATGGGCATTTAAGCTTCAGAGATATAGGGAAATTTGACAAGAAACAAAGCCAAAGCAAAACAATTATAGAAGATAAAAAACTTGTGGCACCTTAAAAGACTACTTCATCACCGCTACCATCATCTAAAAACTGCTGAGCTGGAAAGTTAAAACATCCTGGAAGATGCTGAGAAAATCAGGATGTGGAAGAAAAGATTCATTTTTGGAAGGAGGCAGAGGCAAACACATTCATGAGTGAGCACAAGGAGCAAGATGGGAACAGAAGTGCATTCAAAATTGTAATGTAAATTCATTCTCTGAGATCTGTCAGGAACTCAGACCAGGAATATAGGCCTCTTCAGGCCATAGGTCTGGAACATCATCAGTACTATTTTTTAAAATAACCCTCTTAGATAGCTGGTCTCTAAGGAAAAATCTCCCTGAAGAGTAAAGCTTTTGCAGCTTGTGGAAGGACAGTGAAGGCGGAGCCCATCTGGCCTCCCATGGGAGGGAGGTCCAGGGTCTGGGAGGAGCAACAGAGAAGGCCCTCTCCTGTATCCTGACCCAGTGTGCCTGTGAGGATGGTGAGACCAAGAGAAAGGCCTTTCCTGAAGGTCTTACAACCTAGGCAGGCTTGTAAAGGGAGATGCAGTCTTTGAGATAGCTTGGCCCAAGCTGTTTAGGACTTCATAGGATAAACTCAGCACATTGAACTGTGTCTGGAAATGAACTGGTAACCAGTGGAGCTGCTGTAACAGGAGAGTTATGTGATCCCTGTAACCAATCCCAGTTAACACATTTCCCCCCATGTGCACATTTTTCGTATGTATTTCTCTCCCTCTCCCTCTCTTTTCTTTTTTCAGTTTAACTTTGCCAACATGCTGGTGTATTCCTACAAAACCGTACTTGATGCAGCAAGAATCGGACTCTAAATCTAGTGCTGGTAGATGCTCCCAGAATTTGATCTCATGACCACAGTTATTAGGATATGGGAAGGACAAAACTTTTACATTACATCTGATTTGAAGGAGTAAGTGGGAGAACGTTCTCCACACTACTGTTGTATTGAACACCTTGCCCACTGAGTGGCATTTGGTGACAACATAACACAGCACAGGAAACGAATCTAAGTTATCTTCTGTAGAACCTGCTGCCTCTCCTGGAGCAATGTTCCGATCCAAGCATTGAATTAAGCTCCCTTCAGAGCTTAAGTGGCTGTGGTTGCAGAGTCTGTGACATAATACCGAAATCTGCACACATGTTAGGAAGCAAGATAGGCTCCTAAGCTTAAGTGGCTGCAGAGTCTGTGACATAACACCGAAATCTCCACACATGTTAGGAAGCAAGATAGGCTCCTATTGCCCCATTCTGGTGCACTCACACAATCGTTCTGTGAGCAGTGAGGGTTTTCCAGTACTTCCACCATTACCTTCTTGTAGAAACACAAGCCCTTTTAGGATCAATGGGAATGTTCTCCATCAGTCTGGCTGAAGGTCCATGCAGACCCGACCATACCATAGTGTTGTAGAAGAGGATCAATCCAGACTCATCCCCTTCCCCATTGCACAAGAGACAAGTAGCAGAATTGATGGCACCTCCACTCCCTTCTCTGGGCTAAGAGAAGGAGGTGGAGTAAGAGAGGAAGACAGGAACAGCACATAGCAAGGAAGAAGCAGCATAAAGATTCATAACATTACCCTCTGTCCATGGTGAATAAGATATTGACCAAAATAAACAGCATTAGCTTTCTTGTGGGCCACAGTGTTGTAGGCTTTTCATATCAGAGCACTGGCTAAAATGTGTACTTTAAGGATACAGACTCCATGAGCAGAAATCTTCATTCCTATAGCAGTTTAGGTTTTATTGGCTATCAGCTGAGTAGAAAAATACCTTCCTCCACTTCCCCCCTTTTTGGTCAGTTTATCTTTTAAAAATTAATGGAAAAAAAAGTTGCTTGATGCTAACTCTTTCCCATAAATGTTAGATTTCTACCTTTGTGTAGTATTATTTTCCTTTGCTTTCTTTTCCTTTAAATTTGTTGAGAATCTAGGAATCAGGCCAACTCTTCATTGTTGATATTATTTCTTACTGGAGCTTCTGAAGGTCTTTAATTCTGTTTGAAGTATTATATTGTAGAAGAAAATAATTCATCAAGCCGTGGAAATTTTGTTTTCATTTTGAAGTTTTGGTTTATAAAATGAAGATGAAAGCAAACAATTTTAGGAAATAAAAAAAAAATAGTTTGGATTTTAAAGGTTTTAAACAAAATGCTTACAATTTATTGTAACCTTGAAGGGGGGGGCGGTAGAGACAGGGAAGTTTCCATGACCTAGGAAAGCTGATGTGGGAATTGTCCTGCCTTGGGGAATGAAGGCCTGACAGTCCTTCCTGCAAATCTGTGGCTGAAATCCTGTTGCTTAATGTAGAATGTAGAGTAGGCCAGTTGAATCAGTGGAGATTTGGTAAGTCAATTTCTCTGTAAATTCCATTGATTCAAATGGGCCTGCTATAGTAGTGACTAGAGATGGGGGTACTCGACCTTGCAGCGAAGCTCATCCTCCCACCTCTTGCCAGGAGTGGCTTGTAGACCGCGAGCTCCGGAGCAATAGGAAGAGAGCTCGTGCCCACAGCAACAGCGGAAGGTGAGTGGATGGTCTGGCCCCAGGGGACCTGTACCCTCATTACGTCCAACTGTGGGGTGGTATTCGTATTTGTATACAAATATCCCCATCTCTAGTGACTTACAGTAAGTTGGAACTTACTATATTTATTTATCTATTTAACTTATATGCTGCCCACTCTACCCAAAGGTCTATATGCCCATTTGAATCAATGAAATGTACAGAAAAGTTGACTCACCAAATCCTCCTTGATTCAGTGTGCCTACTTAAGTGTGACTTACTACACCAGGCAACAGGATTTCAGCCAGTCTGCACTATTAGGGTCATCCAGATTGCTTCACATAAAGATGTAATAAATACTCAAGGATTTTCTCACCCTTGACAGAAAAGGATGTTTTGACACATTGACATAACTCACTGAAAAAATGAAACCATTGGGAGATGTTCTACTCCTGCACAAGAGCAAAAAGGCCATAACTTTATTGTCAGCAGTAGCATTAGCAAAAATAGTGGGGGCTTGGGTGGGAAAAACATTGTCTATTTTACATCTGAAAAGAAAAATTCCAATGGTTTTACCATTTACAGAACTAAAGCTACAGAAGGATCAGCAGGTGTTTCCCAAGGTGTTGGCTGCACAACCAGACATGCACATTGTATTGTACTAAACAGCCACAGTGATTTCTGCAGCTTTAGCTCCTCATGTAGCAAGTCCCTACTGCTATATACACAAAAATCTCAAGGTGCAAAAAATGCACAAAAACTCTTATAAAAACACCCAATGTGGTGAAAACTCTTTGAAATGGTTTGTTAAAATCTGGAAACATTAAATATGTGAGGATTTACATTTGTACCCCGTAGCCTTCTCGCTTTTAAAAACTTTGCCTTCCCCTTCAAGAATTTATTGGTGAGGAAGTATATGTAGTAGCAGAGCCTCCAGCTTTAGAGATTCCGCTGAATTTTTCTCCATTATCTGTTTGCTTTGAGAAGTGCGTATTGTATCCTCAGTGAACAAGGAAGAGGAATATATGGGTTAACAGCTTCTCTTTGTCCCTTTCTGCACAAGGGATGAAATGCTGCACAGTGTGCAAAAAAGTGACGTTTCCTAGTTCCACCTGACCATGGAAAGCTGTGGTTTGTGGAAGCTGTGGTATGTTCATAACCCAGGTTATTCTAGTTTTGTGAACAAACTGTATGCAGGTAATGTGTGTGGGGGGGGTTGATTATTTATTTCTGACCTCATGCAGAAAGGGCAGGGCAGGGTGCAGAAGCCTAAGTCTTAGGCCCACATATAGGCTTGGATATAATTTGATGTTGCCTCTGCTAACCTCTGTCTCCAATCCACTAATGTGACAAATTTCACACTAGCATATAATACAATATATGGGCATGGTTTCGCTCAAAGAGAGAGAGAGCGAGAGGCTATGTCCGCTTGTGTTTGTATTAAGATTGAGCCATCCTTCACCTTTAAGAGCTGTCATGCACCTTTCTGGTCCAGCAGTAGGGCATGTGTTTTCTGTTTGTTTGTTTGTTTGTGTGTTGCATGCTCTGTTTAGCTGGGGGAAAGGACTCTCCAGCCTCAATATCTGTCAGATTCTGAGCAAGAGGAAGGGGAGAAGAAGAGAAGAGAAATAGGAAGGAGGGAAGGGAGAAAGCAGATCAATGGGGATAGAGGTAGAGAGGAGCGGCGTTAAAAGTATTTTCCCTTTCCCTGACCTTCCACAGATGATCAGGAGAAGTGTGCAATTGATAGCTGGTCAGGCTAGAAGGGGCCGTTTGCTGTTGGGATGGGAGGAGGGTGCCAAATGGCACATTGCCCCTCCCCTTAACCTCAACAGACCCTTTGTAGCCTGATCCACCCCACGCCCAAAATGGCCGGTTTGGACGGGCCTTATGTCTCTACCTGGTTCCTTCATTTTGGCCAGGAACCTGTTAGAACTTTGAACCTGCCAAGATTTTGTATTTCATACATTTAATTATGAAAGAATGGCATATAAAGTTGGTGTTTAAAATTTTTTCCCCCTCTGTCCTTTTTATTTCTACAGTCTTTATACAATTCTGAAGTTCCTGCTGAACCCCAGCTGCCTCTTTTCTATACTCCTATTGACTTAGTAGACATCAGTGTAGAAATGGCTGGACTCAAGTTTCCCAACCCTTTTGGCCTTGCCAGTGCCACGCCGACCACAAGTTCACCGATGATCCGCAGAGCTTTTGAAGCAGGATGGGGATTTGCGCTCACCAAGACATTTTCTCTGGACAAGGTAATGGAAGCCGGATGTTTCCCCTTCCCGCACCACATACCATTTTTAAAATTTACCAGACTTTTCATAGAAAATTCAGCAATGTGACAGTGAAGGGGTTAGAACTACATAGAATCTTGTAGTGATATTTTATTTTCTCCTTCAATGTATTCATGCTGTAAATGGGAGAATCCATTTTTCTCCTCACTGAGAATAAGAGAATAAAACAGATTTAAATTGTGGGATTAAATTTAAATGTTCCCAAGCAAAGGTTATGGCACACTAGTGGAGTTTACTGCTGTTACTACTCCTTGTTGAACAATGAGTCACCCATGCCAGCCTGTAAACTTCAGTGGGACACCCTTTCTTATAAATAAGAGGCACCTCTCTCATGAAGGTTTAAGCAGTGTCAAGTACTAATCTGGATCTGGTGCCAGAGACAGCCAGTCCATTAGGCAGATTCAGGCAGCCCCCCTCTCTCATCTCAGGTGAGTGAATTGCATGTATAGCGAAAGAGCTTGGTACCCCATCAATGACTGTGTGCTGGCTATTTGTGAAAAAAATAATCCTGCTTCCAAGGCAAAGCCATTTATAAGACTGGTGCAAATAGCAAAGGAATAGCAGTGGAAAATAATAGTTCTGCAAATGCTGTGTTTTGTGTAGAAGAAACCAAGGAAAAGTCATCTTTCTTATTCTTTTTTTAATCAATTAAACTCTACTGGTCAATTTAGGCAAGAGAGGGGTATTGTTAAACTGTGCTATATGCAGGTATATATTGTGTGGGTTCACCACAGTTTGTCATATTAGAGAACCAAACAAACTACAGTTAAATACAACTGAAAATAAACATTTCCAAAATTGCCCTGGAAACAGGAGGGGAATATGCAAGCCCAAAGCTTGCTTGCAAACCACTCTTGCTTGTGTAGGACATGCTAAACCACAGTTTAGTAAGCCATTCAAATGCCTAGTAGCAGACGAACTTGAGTAACTCTATAATACAGTTCTTTGGTGTCGGTATAATGTGATAATTCTATAAACAATTACGATCCCCATTAAAGATGGTTGTGTTGAAGGAAGAAGAGAGAACCAGGGAGTTTTAAAATTGAGTTGTTTTCTTTAAAATCCTTTCTGTTCTAAATAAATGCACAAACATAAACGTGCCCAAAAGCTGGCAGCCCTGCTGTGTTACTTCGTCTTCTAAAGTTCAGTTGGGGTAGTGTGCGTGTCTGCAGGTCAATTCTGCATATGTGACTTTCCAAGCATGGAGTTCCCCAGAAGGTAGTGTTGTAATTGTTGTCTAGCCAAAATTAATTCTGGATCACTGGAGCAGTCACTTCTTTAATTACGGCGCTGTACCCGAAGTCAGTGCCATTGTGTCTCTTATTATACAGTATGATTGCAAAGCCATTGACCTAATGCCTATACTGCTGAACTATCACCCCACAGCCAAGCTCTTCCTTGCTTCTATCTCACTGTCATGGTCTACATGGCATCTGCTGACACCAGTTTGCCACACAGGTCCACCTTTGCCACTCACATTGTATACCTGTATATTTACTTTCTTGCTCTCAAGGCTTGCAGTCACGAGCTGCAGAATTAACAGTTTACAGAAGTTTCAAGAAGCATTTGTGTACTTCCTTGTAGTTTTTTTTTTTTTAAAGATATCGCCTCAGGTTTATCCTGCCAGGAAAGATTGTCCAAAATATCAGGTCTCTAAAAAGTGGTTTCCAATCATTCTGTTTGTCTTCAGCCTCACATTTGAGATCGACCAAGTAATGGAAAATGGGCAGAAATATGAGGTTTAAGAAGGTGAAGGAGTGGCGGAGCTGGGCAGGTGGGATTGCCAGAGGTGGGATATGTCGGTTTGGTGGTGGTGGGCAACAATTCCCACAGCTAGTATTCCCATTAGACATGCTGGCTGGGATATTTTGGGAATTGTAGTTCAAAAAGTGTGCTCTTCATGCCTTATGGTTTTTAGAAGATCTAAGTTTCATGTGTAATTAATACTTCTCTAAATGGGTATCAAGGTGCTCTGGTAAAAGGTTAGCCTGAGGCTGTTATGTGAAATGACTGGGGGAAGCACTACTTTCCTACATACTGTGTTGCACCCGTACCTATGTAGATGTATCCATTTCCCTTTCCTAGAATTAATGGTAGATATTCTTGCTAACTAGTTATGCGACCCCCAACGTCTTAGACGGACAAGTACCGAACTGAGTATTATTGCTGCCGGCAGTCCAAGCAAGATTTACAGCTGTTTCAACCTTGTCACTCACTTTCTGATAGACTGATCCACCAAACTCAGTGCTGTCATTCACTGAGTTTGGTGGATCAATCTGTCATTCTGAAATATATATTTTTGTCATGCGAGACCCTATACATTAGCTGCAGAAAAAAATGAAATGCAGTAGAACTTGGTAAAGCCAATTTAATGTTCTTTGTTCTACCTCACTAATTCGTCTGGTTCCATGTCTGAAGGATTTGTCCTAATGAGGATAATGCCATCAGACGACAATGGAAATGTTTAATTTAATTTAAAACCTCCTATCCACCCCACATTCTGAGACTCCCTAATCATAATAATCACCATTGTGTGCCGTTGAGTCAATTCTAATTCATGGTGACCTTTTTCAGAGTTTTCCAGATAGAGCATACTCAGAAGCAGTTTACTGCCCTTTTTTCTGGTGGCATCTTGAGATTGTGCAGATTAGCCAAGGCCACACATGGTGTCTTTCCTCTCAGGAGGCACAGTAGGGAATAGAACTCCCAACCTCTGACTCTGCAGCCAGATCCTTAAACCACTGAGCTATCCAGCCAGCTTCTAGTCGTTGACAATCTGTTTCTTTTAAATGAATATCTACATATGAATACAAGCTTTCAGAAAGTTATAAATGACCAGAATTAATGACCAGAATTCTATTGGTGTTCGTGGATGTTTTGTTACAATTCACTGTAGCTAATTGACAAGGTGGTGGGGCCCATCTCTGTCCTATGCCTGGGCATGCACTCAGTTGCACAACAGAAACGTACTCCACCACCATCAATTAGCCACGGAAAGTGACAGAAACTGTATGTGGATATCAGTAGGATTCCAGCCTATATACTGTACATTATCCAGTATCTGACTACTGTTGCTACACATTTGCCAGTGATCACCATGATCTATAATAACCTATAACAATCTACCATAATATAATTTTACAAATGTCCCAAAATGAAAGACAAAACCAACCAAACAAACAAAAAACAGGAGAAAATGAAGGATAAAAAGGTTCCATTAAATTATGGCAATTTTTCTTTAGGTGCCACAGAGTTTGCTATACAGTATTTTAATGTGAGTTTTTGCTTACATTAAAAGATAAGAGATAGTCTTTAAGGTGCCACAACTTTATTTTTTTTAAAATTTATTTACTTTGTCTGATATGTCTGCATAGATTAAAGTTGCTACGTCTTCAAAAGCAACTAAAATGAAGGGCTACACTGGTTAACAGTTAATATCAGCTGAATAGAAACTGTCAGTAATTAGAGAGAGAGAGAGAGAGAGATAGTGTGTGTGTGGTGTTTTATATATAATGGGCCATATTTTCTCATGTGGTTTAGAAAAACAGTTACCCTTCAGATTCTTTAGTAGCCAGATGTTGAAATGTAGTTCTCGGTTCAAACACTGAGTTTAGTAAAACTGCATATTAGGGAAGGTTGTGTACAAAATGTGCATAATAGGGAAAAATACAGAAATTCAGCTATTTAGGGGAAATCTTACTTCTCCAGGCTTTTTTTTTTTTCAGGGATTAAGCCGCCATAGTTCCCTGCTTTCCAGAAATGGCTGTTAAATCTCTTGATACAGCAGAAATGAGCAAATTAATAGTTCATAGGGGAAAAAAATCCAACTGGATAGTTAGTGTGGCTGACGTTTCCCCTTTCTTACTGAAATCCACATTGCAGAATATAAATGTGACAGAAAATTATACAGGGTGGGTGGGGAATAAAAAATGAAAAAGATAAAAGTTTTCACATTTTTACAATTCCTGTTTCAGCCAAAGAACTCCTGGTTGCTTCACTGTGTTCAGCGTTAGAGTTGAGCTGCAAGAATAAACACAGCAGGGAAGGAAGAAATGTTTGCTTTGATTTTAGCTCCTTCCTTCATTGGTAAAATGTAATTCTGATTAATCAGAGACATCTGTCTTTACTCTGCTGGTGACATGCATTGATTTGTGATGCTGTCGCTTTCAATAACGTAGAGAAGCTGTTGCCTTTATTAAACCTCACCAGCAGAAATAAACATGTGGAGTGACTTCCTATGAAATCTCCAGCTTTTTAAAAAAAGAAAGAGAAAGAAAGAAATATTGTGAGAAAGATGTAGTTGTTTAGGTTTACAGGAAAGAGAGCCACAGCGAGATTTTGACTGGGACTCAGCCTCTTCTTCAGAATGGGCATAAATGGAATTCAGACCTACTGTTTTATGCTAGCTGAAACTTGTCCTGGTCTCTAAATCCAAAAAGAAGAGACCAGAATGAGAAAAGAAAAAAAGGGGGAGAGAGAACAATTGGTGTTAAATTTTAATGACAGACTGTTGAAATAAATAAACCTGATACCAACATATATGATGCTATTTTCAAGTGATTACTGTTGAGAAGTAGGGCAGCTGTGGCTCAAACACTTCCATTCTCAAGTCATGTGGCGTCTGGCAACCGCTTCTCCCTCCCATCACTTCCATAAAATGGCACCAACCCTGTGGTGCACTGAGGGCACAAGCATTGTGCCCCTCAAGCCCCAACCACCACAAGATGAAGAGGGCAAGGAGAAGAATGTGGCACTGGCACTCTTCACATTCTGCCGCATGAAACAGAGTTGGCTGCCCAGCCATTTCCAGATGTCAGCACTACGGTAAATCTGTCCACACGCCCACTGTGGGCAGTTCCCCAGAGCAGCTTAAGTCACGGGAGACAGTGGTTGCAGTGACAGGGAAGAGTGCACCTGCTTTCTCTGGCACTTTGCTGCCTGTGATGACCGGATCCTAAGCC